TTTTTCAAGGGTTTATCTTGAACCGGGTATAGGTAGATTTTTTTTAGGCTAGGATTAATGGGCGAAGAGCTGAAATTTGAAGAAGAAAAATCCTTAGCGTTCTTACACCTGAACACGATAGACGCTAGAGTGTAGCGCGTAGCTTCAAGGGTTGAATCTTGTTTTAGTGCCTTAAAAATTGTATGTTTGTGCTTAACTTGAACACTCGAAAGAGACTGTCTTGATAAACTAATCCAGAGTGAGTCATCTGCCAAGTGAGTGTGAGTATTGTTTGTATTCCATGCTGTACATTTGATGCCTAGAATTTGCCCTGTGTGTTTGCAAAGCGAAATAGTAGCTTCATTCAGTTTTAGAAGTGATATAGGCATTTCTTTGTCCAGACATAAAAAGTGAACCCACCTGAATGCATTACATCTTAGTTAACCCCGTTGAGCCTATAAGCCTGTTTCTTTGGCAACCACAATGTGAACCTTACCCAATTGTTTGAATAGCCTGTTGTTTGAACCAGTTTTCCTCCCTCTCACTAAGCACTAGAATGGTATTGAGATTATGCAAAAACAAAAGTGTGGGGTGGTAGTTTGGTTTTCAAAGTGGAACCATGGAAATAGAGAAAAAGGTGCAGAATGTGAAGCGTAAAAAGAGAAGCACCACGAAGAAAAAAAAAATAGAAATTTTTTTCCATATATTTTGTAGTGATTAATAAGTGGTAGCTAGTATAAATTGCACCTAATGTATGGGTATGTTTAAATACGGTGGAGTGTTGGCTTACAAAATAACGAGCTTGAAGTTCAATGTAATTGTATTAAAAGTGCTTAGGGAGGTTAGTCACTATATCCAAATGTATCCTACCTGTCCCTTAGCCTACATTACAACCAAATAAAGTCCTATTGATCTTAGACTGAGTGGGGCTCGACTAGTCGAGTACTACACTAGGGGCAAGCTTATGGTGCATCTTTGTTGCATGTGAATGTATCTTTTGGAGAGTGAGTGAATTCTGTCTATTTGAGTTCCTAGTTGTTATCACTATCATTATATACACGGAACTACTCTCTTGTGTGATGTGAGGGCATGTGATTCACGAAGGAAAGGTGCGTCTTGACTATTGTATAGAGAGGTTTGAGTAAGTGCAGATGTTGCAGGGTACGAAAAACTTGATTCTAGAGGTGAAAGCTGCTCACTACTAGGTGTAACTCTTGTAAAATGTTCATGGAGTGAGTCGTTGAACGAAAAGCATAGGGAATGACTTTTTATGAGTGGGGTGAATTTCTCGAGGACTAGCAATGATTTAAGTGTGGGGTGTTGATAATAGGCTATATAGTTGTTATTTAAGCCATAATTACCCATGCTTTGTTGTTGTTTTGTAATGTAAGTTGCCAATAAAATGCTTTAATTGATGCTATTTGGTCTCGCAGGGAATACAAGATGTGAGGAAGCAAAAATGAAGTGTTTGGAGGCAAAAACGTGAAGAAATCACTCACTCAAGAAGCACCCGAACGCAAAAGAGAAAATGAGAGAAGTAACGCGGAGAAAAAAATACCTTCAGTGCTTCCCGCGGTCAGAGCCGCGGTTTACAACAGAGGCGTCCGCGGTCGTAGCCGCGGTCGATGCCGCAGCCGCGGTGGCTCGTGCACAGCCCAAAAATTTGAGGGGTCAAAGTGTCAACTCGGGAAAGCTTTTGTAAAATCCTTATAATATGTAGGAAACTCGCCCAAGGCTAGGTTAAAGCTTATTTTGGAGATTCTTTTGCAAGAGAAACAAGTGTGAGAGATCACCCAAAACATCATCACTCTTATTCTATCTTATTTTCTTGCAATTTACAATTATGAATCTTTTCGTAGTTTATTTCCCCATTGTTATGAGTAGCTAAATACCTTAATCTAAGGTTTGGTGGAACCCGTTGGGGATGACTTGGTTGTTATATTAATATAGTTGGATATTGTGGTTAATCTCTATTTGTTCATCCATGTTTTGATTGCGGTTAGTTGAAAGGGCCCTCAACTATCCGTTCCTATTTAGTATGTATCTACTTGAGAGAGAGTGCATATTTAGGTGATTGTATGAACAACATCACTCCCGGAGTATAGACGAGAGTCATAACCGAGGGTTTAGAGGTTGGATTAGAGATAACGATACCTCGGGTGCAATCTAAGTGAACTGTAATGTGAATCTAGCTAGCGTAGCTTGAGAGAGTGGGTCTAGTAAATTATCATACTTACTCGAGAAAGATTTATGATAGCTGGAGCGTTCATGATTGATAGAGACAACTAAATTATAGTTATAAGAAATATACAACCAAGGAAATTACCAACGGGGGAAACCATTACCTTAGCCCTTTATTCCAATTGTTTACAATTCAAGCATAGTTAGTTTTCAGCTGTTTATTTATTTTCAATCTTGTCTTCTTGGTGATATTAAACAGATACAACTAAGCCTTAGTTCTCTATGGGATTCGACTCCGGACTTTTAGACCGGATTATATTTACAGCGACCACTTATCCTTTTTAGGACTAGAGTTGGGCGTGATCACTCGGCTCAAGAGGACAAAAAGACAAAAGGAGACAAAATTAGTAACACCACAGAAATAATAAGAAAAATAGGAAAATAGGAAAAATAGGAACAACATGAAATCCAGAAGAAGGATACACAGCAAAAGCGAGATAGTATCCCTACCAAACTAATCCCACACAGTTATGACATAAGGCAAGACCCAACTACCTCCTAACCTACAACCCTAATACTCGACCTCCACATGTTCCTATCAACATGTCCTCGGAAATTTGAAGGCTCGCCATATCCTGCCTGATCACCTCCCTCCAATACTTCTTAGGCCGCCCTCTACCTCTTCTCGTGCCCTCCACAACTAGCCGTTAGCACCTCCTTACCGGAGCATCTGGGCTTCTCCTCTTAACATGCCCGAACCATCTGAGCCGCACTTCCCGCATCTTGTCATCAATGGGGGCCACGCACACCTTCTCCCGAATATCATCCCCTAATCTTATCCATCCTAGTATGCCCGCACATCCATCTCAACATCCTCATTTCTGCTACCTTCATCTTCTCGATATATGACTTCTTAACAGGCCAACACTCAGCCCCATACATCATGGCCGGTGTAACCACCGCTTTATAGAACTTACCTTTGAGTACCAGTGGCACTCTCTTATCACACAATACTCTAGAAGCTAGCCTCCATTTCATCCATCCTACCCCAATGCGGTGTGTGATATCCTCGTCGATCTTTCCTTCCCCCTGGATAACCGACCCAAGGTACTTGAAGCTGTCTCTACTCGGGATGACCTGTGATTCAAGCCTCACATCCACGCCCACTTCCCCTTGCTCAGCGCTGAACTTACACTCCAGGTATTCTGTCTTCATCCTGCTAAGCTTGAAACCCTTAAATTCAAGAGCCTGTCTCTAAACCTCCAGCCTCTCGTTAACACCGGCTCGCGACTCATCAATCAGAACTATGTCATCGGCGAATAGCATGCACCATGGCACATCCCCTTGAATGTGGTGTGTTAACGCGTCTATCACCAGGGCGAATAAGAATGAACTGAGCGCATAACCTTGGTGTAACCCCATAGCAACTGAAAAATCCTCAGAGTCGCCTCCTACCGTCCTAACCCGAGTCTTTGCCCCATCATACATATCCTTAATCGCCATAATATAGGGAACTGACACGCCTTTTGCCTCCAAGCTTCTCCAGAGAACCTTCTTTAGGAACATCAAACAATAAATAGTAATAAATGACATTTATGTAAATAAGGAGAATGATTCACCCAATATTGAATGAGGCGGATGATTCTTCTTTCTAACAGTGATGAATGACAGACAAATCCTAGAATATTGGAATTATTCTCGGATCCGATGGAAAAGTATGAAATAATGGATGGTGGAATCTTAGTAAAAAAGTAGAGTTTATATCTTTGCTAGAGAGACTCTCCTTCTCAAAAAGTGTTCTTATCAAATGAATATTACCTGCCTCATCCACTTATCTCTTTTTTTATTTATATGAGACATATTCCCAATCAACCCTAATAGTACAAGTGCCGAGAATATTCAACGGAATATTCTCTTTAATATCCTATTACAGAAACTAGCCGTTAGTACTCTATCCTTGATGCTCGACCTCGACCATCGTTGGCTGCCCGGCCACGAATCCCACGGTATCCTAGTCGACCTCGATCGCATCTTTTTCCCTTGATACCACTTTATGCTAAATCCCCTTGGGGCAGATTTTAGCCTATACAAGTTATACCGATAATAGCTTTTTATAGAATAAGTTTGAATTCAATTCTCACGGTCCTTTTTATATTTCCATCCATATAAAATAAAAAAAATACGACTTTGCTCGTATTTTGTTTCTTGAACTAAGTTGATAAAGGTAGTTGTTTTGTTTGATCTTGTGCATTGATTTTCTCTTTAATTCGTTTCTCTCGTTTGACGAGCTGGTATCTAATTTTCTGAGACTTATAAACCAACAAAAACTATTAAATTTTAAAAAGTTTAGGAAATAAGAATAATAGGTGAATGTATGTTACATCAAGTACAAGTATTCTCTCACCAAAAAAAAAGTACAAGTATTCATTCACTTATAACGTGGAAAAATTAGTTGTTGTTGGTTTTCGAAAAATCAATTCCTATTTGAATAAGAAAAAGGGATAGTTCATGACTTTATTCTAGTAACGATTATTTTGGTATTACACTGGAATTATATACTCCCACAAAAAGTCAGCAAGTCATTGTTCAAAAAATAGAGTCAACATCAAGTATTCTGTTAATATTAAAATTGAAATCTAAATAAGATACTAGTAATAAGTAGATTTATAATTGTTTCAGCGGCAAATAGCACGTTAGTTCCTGGTGAGTTGTCACCGTCCACGGTTCACACTCCACGTCCAACTACCAAACTGAACCGGGAAACTAATAGGGATTTTCTACTCTGTAATTCCCCGGTTTTCGTTCGTTTTATCACATTAATTATCTTTCCCCAATTAGTCAAAACAGTCATATTAGGCTTCGCTTTCTTTTTCACTATTTTCCGTGTCAGTCGCCATTCTCACTCTCTCTCTTCTCTGCACTTTACCTTTCCCTCTACGCAATTTATCACTCTCCCCTATTTCTCCTCATTCCCATAACTCTCTCACCTCAGCTAATTTTCCCAAACTTTTTTGCTGCTCTTATGCTTAGGTTCAATTAATTGAACTGAGTGGTTTGTTTTTATAAGAAAAATGCATTGTACCGGCGAACCACCGTCACAGCCGCCGTCCACGGCCGAAACCCTTGCCCAAATAAACCACCTCCTCACCCATCTCCTCCCCTTTTCTCTTTCCATCAAGTCCTTCACTTCCCGCTGGCAAGTTCTCCGGTCGAAACTCGCTACCGTCAAGTCTCTTTTATCCGAAATCTCCGATTCACCTCATTGGACGGAAAACGAGCTTCTTCCGACGCTGCTCCCGAATCTTCTCTCCACTGTACTCCGTGTACAAACTCTATGCGAGCAATGCTCCGACCCGGATAAAACTCCGGGTAAGCTATTAATGCAGTCCGATCTTGACATGGCTTCGGGTTGGCTTTCAAAACAGATCCATCACCTCGACCTCCTTTGCCGTTCCGGTGTGCTCCGTCAGTCTACCGCTATAGTCCTCTCTCACCCTTCCGTTAACTCTACAAAAGACGATTTAGTCCTTTTTATTAAAGACCTATTCACCAGAATCCAAATCGGCGGCGTTGAGTTTAAGAGAAAGGCTTTAGAATCGTTGATTCAGCTCCTCTCAGAGGATGAGAAATCAGCTGGGATTGTTGCAAAGGAAGGGCATTTTGGGTATTTAATTAATTTACTGGACATTAATATTGATCCTTTTATACGTGAACAGGCAGTTGTTGCAGTATCAATGCTTGTTTCTTTAAGTGAACAGGCGAGGAAATGCGTGTTTGAAGAAGGTGCGTTAGGCCCTTTACTTAGAATTATTGAGTCTGGTTCTGTTACTATGAAGGAAAAAGCGGCTTTGGCTGTTGAATGTATTACTAATGATCCTGAAAATGCTTGGGCTATCTCAGCTTATGGTGGTGTGCCTATACTCTTAGACCTATGTAAATCTGGGTCTGTTTCTGCTCAAATTCATGCTGTTGGGGCAATCAAGAACGTGTCCACAAATGAAGATGTGCGTATTGCGTTAGCAGAAGAAGGTGCAATTCCTGTTCTTCTACAGTTAATGGTTTCAGGCAAGGCGTCAGCGCAAGAAAAGGCGGCGAATTGCGTAGCGATTCTTGCTTCCTCTGGTGAGTACTACCGGGATTTGTTAATTCAAGAAAAGGGATTGCAAAGATTGCTTCATTTGCTTCATGAATCGTCGAATTCTGATACATTAGAGTATGTTTTACGGGCTATTCATTCGTTATCTTCTTCTGATTGTACGTCGAGGGTTCTTAGTTCATATACTACGTTTGTGATTCAGTTAGCGGAGCTTATAAAGCATGGTAGCTTAATGTTACAGTATATTTCCGCTTCACTGCTTGCAAATTTATCTATAAGTGAGGAGAAGAAGAGGGCTATAGCTGGGTGTATGGGGTCATTGGTGAAGCTGATGGAATCAGCTAAACCAGATGGGCTGCAAGAGGTGGCGGCGAATGCATTGGTTTCTTTGTTGGCTGTGAAGTCGAATAGGAAGGAATTGGTTAAGGATGAGAAGAGTGTGATGAGGTTGGTACAAATGTTGGATGCTAAAAACGATGTGGTGTCGAAGAAGTTCCCAGTGGCAGTGGTGGCGGCAATCATGGCGGGAGGGAGCCATGGTTGTCGGAAGCGACTAGTGGAGGCCGGAGCATACGGACATTTGCAGAAGCTGGCGGAGGCAGAGGTTGTCGGAGCTAAGAAAGCCTTTCAGAGACTTTCAGGCAATAGGCTAAAGAGCATTTTCACAAGGACATGGAGTAATTAGCAAATGCAAACTAACCAACAAAAGGTAATTTTTCTGTTAACATCTTTAATTAACTACTGTACTGTACTTAGTTGGAAGTTTAATTCATCTTAACTTATTTAGCCTTAGCGGGTCCTACCGGTCAACACCACTCCAACATGACATACTGAATGTAGTATTTCTATATGCTTCGATTAATTTGCCTACATTGTTTTTTAGCTCACATCCTCTGAAAACCAGAAGATTAAATTGAAACATAAGTATTTTAGTTTAAGAGATTAAAAACATTTTTATTTGGTGGCTCATTCTCATTATAGTTTTTGATCCCCTTTCCCCTCCAAAAGAGAAACAAGATAGTATGTTGGGGCTCTTTTACTCAAAAAAAGTAATGACTTTGTAAGAGCTCCATTTTTACCTCATCATTTTGTAAAAACTCAATTTAAAGGAAGGGTGGAAGCATTATATGATGAGTGATGAGTTCTATTTTGATATGAGTCAAGGCCTAATTGCCTAAAGCATGGTGTCAAAGTAACCAAATGATACTACTTTCCTTAGACTAGTAAATTGTAGACAACTATCAAGATGAAGTCATTTGCATTGAGTAAAAGTAGGTGGACTATAATTAGAAATCCTAACTGTCCAACCTTAAATAAGTACATTTTTCTCCTTTATTTTGTGAAACACGCTAGACATGTTAATGCTTGCAATGGGTCAGGCTGAGCTGTGATATTTTTCTTTGGCCCTATAGTGGGGGCATGATTCTCAACTTTTATTATTCAGTCTTTGGATATGAATGGCATTGATGCACTTCCTGGCTAGTTGATCATCTTATCAGAAGTGTCTTGCTGTTATGTTTATTACTATTCATTAGCTGACTGGATTACACGTGATGAACATTAGTGCTACTTTAAGTCCATTTTACTCTAATGAAGTTTTTACTTTTATTCACTAATCTTGTCTCCTGACATTATCGTACCTATGATGCTTCTTGCAGGTGGTTGTTTGGATTTTCACAACTGTCAAAATGTGGAAAACCACCTCATTTCCTACAAAGAAACCAACAAAAAATCACTACACACTTGGTACACCCCAACTTTAACCTTATACTACACTATTGTTCTCAATTAGAAAAAAGAAAAAAGCCTGAAAAAAAGTTGAATTTATTATTCTAAACTATATAACACATGGCATGGATGCGGTTTTTAGGGAGTATCCTTGTTTGTTTATTTTTTCTCTTTTTTTCATTTTTTCTGTTTATTTCACAATGTGAAGCTTTTGTAAGTGAGTGATAGTGCTTGCCACCCCACCCTTTTTTTTCATCCTAGGCATGGTTAATATTGTATATTCAAAGGTTTGTTTTTCTTGTAATGGCCAAAGCCCTAATTACAAAGTGTGCAACTTGTCTCTTCAATTTATTTCTTCTCTCTTTATTGGTGAAAAAGTGTAGCTAACTCTTAGGGTATCACATTAACATTTTCTTGCTTTGTACAATGTCCTTTTTCATATAGTATTTGTTATTGACAACCTTTTAGTGCGGCTAGAATTATGGTCAGTTTGCCGGTTGATCTTTTTACTTTGTTATTTTTTTATTGTTAAGGAAACAACACAGCTTATAAACCTAGCATAAAGCTAAGCTTTTAGGGCGGTTAAGGTTCTGTTCTTTTGTATTTTCCTATAGCTGGCGTTTGTGAATTGTTTTATATAATCCCTTGATTAAGCAAAGATAACATTTTTTGCTTTGTTTAATTCTTTGGTTGTTGGTGTAAAAAGGGGTTCTAAAGTTTTATACACTTGGAACTGTAATGGATACTTCTAATGGATTTTTGTGAAACTGAGTTGTAAATGGAGTTTAATAATGCGTATGTCGATCCTTAATTTAGATAAGAAAAAATTGGAAGGCCATGATTATCGGAAATAAAAGAAGGGTGGGCCCACGTGTTCTATCATGAGAATCTGCATTAAAAAAATGGAGAATAGGTAAAGAAGAAGCAGCTATGAAGATGTCAGAAGGAGGAAATTAAATAACGCTTAAAATACATAAGAGAAAAAGATATGGAAAAGAGGACAAGAGAGGGACCGTTTACAGCGATATCACATGGAAAGATGGAAGCATTAAGATTAGAAAAATCAATAGTGGGTCTTATTCTATATGGTTAGATTGTCTATGAAAATGGTGGGTCAAGACTCACATTCTATGTCTCTTTCATTACCCTTCACCATCTTTCTCTCTCTCTAATTCACATGCCTGTGCCTGCCTGTTTTGTCTCCCCCTCCACCCCAACCCCAACCCCCCACCCCAATAGGTGGATGGGATTTGATGACCTCGGAATAGGGGTTAATTTCAGTTATCGTCTTAATAGGTAGAGTTACTCAATACTTCTACTAATAGAAAGTAGCATGTACTTGTTGGATTAAACCAAGTACGCATAACGACCAGGACGGGCCAATGGCCGATCAATAAGGTCTATGGCCTAGGTCGGTGACCTTCATTGCACTTTGAAGGGGTTCAGCCTAAGGTCGACCCAAGTATTCGAGCCTATATCATAATCGAAGTAAGCACAAATAGGATCAAAATACCACTGTACAAAACAAAATAATATGCACTTGTATATTTAAATTTTATGATGATTATAATACACGTTACTAATGCTTGCATTAGGTTAAACCGTCTATATCACACCCTTTGGGTGCGGTCTTTTTCTGAACCCACCGTCTATATCACACCCTTTGGGTGCAGTCTTTTTCTGAACCCTGTGTGTACGTGAAGTAGATATCCTTTATAATACACATTGTAACAATCCAAATCATGTTGAAGTAGTCAAGTAGTCACTTGATATTTAGGGAGAAAACCCCCAAGATTTGAGTGTTTTGATGTTTGGGGAGGGGGGTCAAGGGGTTGGGGGTTGGTTGATAATTCTTGTATGAAACGCCAAATGAAGATGAATCAGATACTGCTAAAGTGGAGAAAGAAAAGGCTGAGACTTTTGGCGTTTTGAATGTCATATTTGCTGTAATATATCCCTTTAAAGCAACTGCAATATCCCAAGCATTTTGCAAGCTGTAAAGCTTAGCACTTGTCCTCTTATCTTGTGTGTCCTCTCATTATTTTCTCCTTTTTCCTATCCTTCCTTCCCGCTAAATCTTTGGCAGTTAATGATTTCTTCACTTCAACTGTTTTTTTTTTCATTTATATGGGTGGTGGGTTGCTTACTTCAATTTCAAGTTCATTCTTTTTTTACATGAATAGAATAAATTCTCTGCTCCTTTTGCTTCTTTTGAAGCTTCCTTGAAAATCAACTTTATTATTGTCAATTTTTTCCTTTATTTCTTCAACTATTGGACAAGATTGTGGCACATTACATTGGCCAGATAACAAGTCAGTTGTACAGATTACAAGATGGTATCTTCTTTATAAGAAATGCAGAAAGGGGAACAACAATTTTAGAAATTCTACACTTGCTAACAATTTCATTTAAAAAAGTACTTAAAATGTCTCCCAACTGTCTACTTATTGGGGTCCCAGTCATGAGTAAAAGGCAGCTTGTTGTACAAAGTAACTTACGTTCACGCAAGGTCCAAGGAAGGGCCGCACTCCAAGAGGTGTGATGTAGACAATCTATCCTAGTGCAAGCATTAGTGGCTGTTTCCTTGGCTCGAACTCGTGACCTTAATACGGATACATCTTCAATTTTACCGTTGCTCCAAGGCAGCCTAGTCATGAGTATTTTGCTTCAATTATTTCTTGCACGAGAAGGATACTTTATACTTTTGGGCATATTTGACTAAAAATATTTGTGAACAACCCAAGGTTGATTTAAATGTTATTTAAATGTCGACATTTAATTCACCTGCCACCCGTCCCCAAAGACTTAAGGTCCATAGTTTGCATGTTACAATCGATTACGTCAAAGTCTTCTCCAGCCAAAAGATTGGACTATCAGCCTTTGCATTTAAAGTTTTAAACACTTGTAGCAAGTAGCAAAGTAATGGATTCTGTGAGAAATCATATTGCTAGTTCTAGGACCCCATAGTTCCTCATTTGGGTCTACCATACCCATGGGTTGAGCCAGGGTGGTGGAAGGGGGTTCTGAACCTCCTTTGCCGAAAAATTTCACTGTAGATATAAGTTTAGAATTTCTTTTATGTATATATATTAGCTGTTCAATCTCCTTTTTTCCAATGCCCGTTTTATATTTGGCTTTTTTTTTTTTTTTGGCTCCTTTTTTGCTCTCCTCCTATTCTTCATTGGACAATCCGGATGGACTTTGCCGTTCTTTCGCAACTAAAAACAAAAGGGTTGTATCACATCGAGATGTCGATTCTTGGTGCCTATTAGGGTTTTATTACAATGTAAGAGTTTTCACCTAGTGTTATCTTTCGAAATTTTCTTTAAGAAAAGAAGTTTGCATGCTTAAAAATGTGATATTGGACACAAAAGTGAAGATTTTTTGGGGGAAAGTAAAGGCATAAGGGCTTCTTTTTAGATTACTTTTCTTTAAAGGAGAGAAGGAAAATAGGAAATTGCCTCACAGCCACAAGTCAGCTCAAGCTTTTCGGCTTTTTAGTAGTTGACATTTCACTATCACTACAATCCCGTTTCATACTTTACTAAAGTTCATGGCTTTAAGAATTTATTATTTTAAAATATACTAACAATATATCAATATTTTCCAATCATAATCACTTTACTTTCGTTAGTTTCAAGAATCAGATTCATATATGAAATTAAATGTAAACTATTACATAATGTTTTCTTCACCAGGTCAAATTTGCAATTATCATTTTCACATTTTCTTCTACCACAGTATAAAAAATGATCTCCCTTTACATTTTGTATAACACCATTTTGACTGGAAAACTGAATATGAGATACATTAGTTAGATTTGTTATTTAAGTGGTAATAAAAGAAAGTCACATCCAAATTTAAGATTTAATTTGCTAAATAGATTTGAATATGAAAACTTGTGAGATGTGTATAAGATTTAATATTAGTATAATGATGTCAAACATTTTAAGATGTTCCAAATTACCAAAATTGTATGTAAAATGGTATGAAAGAGTCCATAATTCAAAGATATTAATTTCAAATGAGACGTGTTAGATGTGGTTCGGTTTAGTGCTTTTTCCTTCGATATGCTTCAGTAAATACTTTGTTGCTAGTCAAACCCCAGTGGGATTATCTCGGGAGGCATAGTTGAAGTGTTAATATGGTGTAAAATAATCACCGCAGTTAAAGCAACGAGACATTTTGAGTTCTTTTTTGTTTCTAGAAAGAAGTTTAAGTTATCTTTTCCAAGTCAAACATTTAGTGCTCTATTTAAGAATACTCTCTCCGTCTCATATTATCTGTCCTGTTTCTCTTTTACATGCCCCTTAAAAATTACTCTGTCCGGTCCACAATAAGCGACCAATTTATCTTGCACACGCCCATTAAGGAAATACTAAATTATAGACAAAAATAGTTAGTGTGACTAAACTACGCTTAATTAAATATTGCAACATAATTTAATATGAGGAGTAAAAGACTTTTTAGGGATATGTACATAAGGGTAATTTTGAAAAAACAAATTGAATTTTTTCTTGATTATATAAATGGACACTTATTTTGGACCAAAATAAAAAGATAAATTGGTCACTTATTGTGGACCGCAGGGAGTATTAAATAGGAAGGGTTTTGACTATTTTACCCTTAGAGTCTGTTTGGAAAGCCACCATGTAACTGAAATTGGTGTAATTACTATGGTAGTAATTACACAGCCTAGTAATTACACAGTTGTGTAATTACGACGACCTATTTGTTTGTTGTAATTATAGTGTAATTACATGTTTACTGTTTGGTTACACAAGTGTAATTACACAGTTAAATTAAATTTCAAATTAAATAATTATCAAAACTTAAAAGTTAATATAATAAATATATGCCTATAAATTTTTATAAGTATAAATGATATTATAGGTATTTAAGGAGAATATACATTAATTTAGTAATCATATATTTTGTGACGACCTGACCCGTCGTCACGTGAGTTACCGCCCCGTTTTCCCCATTTTCTGCTTCTTTATGCTTCATTATAAGAGTCTTGTGTGAACGAGTTGGTTTTGATTGATTTTAGAAGGAAATGAGACACTTAGTCTCTTTAAGGAAGGTTTGGTTTGGAAAAGTCAATCGGATGTTGACTTATGAGTTAGAGGGCTCGGATGTGATTTCCAGTGATTCTGTTAGGTTCGGGGGATGATTTTTGACTTAGGAGCGTGATCGGAAGTGATTTTGGAGGTCCGGTGTAGAATTAGGCTTGAATTGGCGAAGTTAGTATTTTGGCGAATTCCGGTTGATAGGTGAGATTTTGATCCGAGGGTCGGAATGGAATTCCGAGAGTTGCTACAGCTTCATTAGGTGATTTGGGATGTGTGTGCAAAATTTCAGGTCATTCAGAGGTGCT